AAGGAACTGATGTCTACTGATTTGGTGGCAGAGATGGCTTGGGTTAGGAAAGTGGCCGACAGTCTCAATAGTCCCGTTGTCTTCTCTCATAACGATCTCAATCGCCGTAATATTCTGGTCACTAATGAAGACCACAATAATAATAATGCTGTGAATGTTTACCTCATTGATTTTGATTGGAGCAGTTATATGTATAGGGGCGCTGATCTAGGTGATTATTTTGTTAATTGGGGTCAACAGGAGCTTGACTTTGGTCCCGAAGGGTTCCCAACTGACCATCAAATGATGGATTTCATCGACGCCTATATCCGGGAAATGACAGCAATTAATGGCAACTCTTTTACACAATTGGAGATCAATTCACGCCAAAGGCTTGTGAAAGAGGCGAAAGTGTTTGGTTTAGTGTCTTATATAAAGGAGTTGTGTTATTGTGTTTGGGAAGCAAATAAGAGCAATAAACTTGAATTACTGGTAATATTTAATATTAAAAATTATTGTGTTTTTATTAATATTTTTAGTGATTTTCAATTTTAATTTAGTGTTTTTAATGATAATGTTTTGTGTATTTACAGTCAAAAGCGGATCAACGGATTAAAGTCTATAAAGAATTAAAGCAGCGTATATTAGATGAATATTCAGAGATTAAATCAAATTGGTAATAATAAATTGTTATTTATGATAATGGTTAAATAAATGCTAGTAAGCTATTGAATTTTTGATTTATAACTTTAATAACTATAGTATAGATTTACTATCAATTACTGCAAAATAATTTAAACAATTAATTTGAATAAATGAATAATAATAATAAAGTATGTAGTGAAATAAATAAAAATGGTACAAACACAATAATTGTATTACAAATACCATATGTGACAATCACAGGAATTTCTGGCTACAAGAGGCTACAGAATCTATAGTAATAATAGTACGGAATCTGTACTACAGATAAAGGTATTTTTAATAGATATTATATTTATAGCATAGGTATTTGTCACATATAAAGTAAAACTTTAATGCTGTGCTTTAACATTAGTTCAACATTAGTGCAACCAACATTAGTTATTACTAAAGCATTGATTTTTAGGTGACAAAAAGTGTTTTAGGTACTTAAAAATGGCTGAAAAGATGATAAAAAAATTAAGAAAAAGTTATTTATTTTGCATAAAAATAGTACTTTAAAAGGGTTAATTACATCAATTTTTAAAAATTAAATTGGTTGCACATAATTAGTGAGTGAACATGACTTCAAGAGCACTACTTCGTGAGGACTTATATTAATGGCTAAATTTACATTACTATTGCCATTTAAAATATTACTAATTAATTGCAATCGTTTATATCCAAAATTCTTATTTAAAACAAATTGGAATTTTTAAAAAATGCTAAAAAGGTGAAATTCAATTCTCTCTAAATACTCCTAAATATGTATATCGTGTGCCCCCAAACTTTCAGGAGGTTCTCCGCTTTCGGGACAAAAAGTTATTTACCTTAGAATTAATGCTTTAGTTATTACACTAATCAATTTATATTACTCGTCATCATAGTAAAAATACAGCTGTTAAAGCAAAAATGCCACTTTTGTACAATTAATTTATATAAAATACTGATAATATTTACATTAATCAGTTGTCATACATGTAAAAACTCACTATATAAAGGTAACCTAATATTCAGTGCTAATTAAATTTGAAAATAATTAATTTTATTAATTACTATTTTTAATGGAAAGCAATGTTTCAGCGGAGGATCGGCTAAATGTGTGGCAATTATGCAAAACATATTTAGGCGGCGAATGGAGTAGTGTTTGCGCCGACGATCTGGTTATCAAACCCGCGACGTAAGTGACGTAACAATTGTTTGACAACAATAGTTAATAATAATAATGTTTTATTTGATCAGGGGCGGATTTGTGAACAAAATATTATTTTGTTTTCTCCCCGACTCGATTGACCATGGACAAGTAAAATATCCAAAAGTAGTGGTTAAATACCTTAATGATTCTCTCGAGAAATGTGGCGTAAATCTAACCCATTTATTAGCAGTTAATGTAATTTTATCCGAGAATAATATAGCGCCCAAAATGTTGGCCGTCTTTGAAAAGGGAAATATCTGTGAATATATTGATGTATGAAATTATAAATTATCATAAAATTCTTACTTAATTTTAATTTTTAAATTACATATAAAAATAGTCCCACTATTTCAACGCCGGCGATGACCTCAACCCTATGGCAGTGTCAGTGTTGGCACAGAAAGTGGCAAAATTGCATTCACTAGATATGCCGATACCTAAAGACGGCGCCGACTGGTATATGAGGATAATTATGGAGGACTGGTTCCCAGAGTGTGATCGCGAGTCCTATAGAAACGGGTCGGTTCGCCACGAGATCCAGAAGAATAAGAATGACTACAAGACACTGATGTCAGTGGATCTGTTGGAAGAGATGGATTGGCTCAGACGTATGTGCGAAAAGATTGACTGTCCCGTAGTCTTCTCGCACGCCGACCTCAATCGGCGCAATACTCTGGTCCGGGAGGGAGGGGTTGGCCCGGGTTTGGACGTTTACATCATTGACTGGGACTGGTGTTGCTATACCTATAGGGGCGCCGACTTTGGCGATTATTTTATGAATTGGTGCCAAACAGAGCTGGATTTTGGTGGCGGACCCTTTCCTACCGACGACCAGATGCTGGTCTTCATCGACGCCTATATCCGGGAAATGACAGCAATTAATGGCAACTCTTTTACACAATTGGAGATCAATTCGAGCAAAAGGCTTATAATGGAGGCGAAAGTGTTTGCTTTATTGGGTTATATTAAGGAAGTTTGTTATTGTTGTCAATTGTACGGTAGAGATGGAAAGTTAGAAATGATGGTAAATATGATTAACTAATAATAAGTTTGCATTTGTAATCTAATAAATCTTATATTTCTTACAATAGCCTAAAGGAGAACAAAGATATAAAGTTTACAAAGAACTAAAGGAACGTATATTTGACGAATATCCGGAACTTAAATAAATGATCATGTCTATTTGAAAATTAATTGATAAAATATAGTNTAATAAATCTTATATTTCTTACAATAGCCTAAAGGAGAACAAAGATATAAAGTTTACAAAGAACTAAAGGAACGTATATTTGACGAATATCCGGAACTTAAATAAATGATCATGTCTATTTGAAAATTAATTGATAAAATATAGTCTAATAATTTTATAACAAGAATTAAAAATAATTTTATAAACTGATATACAGTACATGAGACTGTTTTTACTGTATTCTTCACTGTATTTCTATTTATTTGAATTTATTGAATTGTTATATTTAATAATTACGTGTTTAATATTACTTTCATTTTTAAATTGTTTAAAACTGATATACAGTACATGAGACTGTTTTTACTGTATTCTTCACTGTATTTCTATTTATTTGAATTTATTGAATTGTTATATTTAATAATTACGTGTTTAATATTACTTTCATTTTTAAATTGTTTAAGAGTTATTTAAGTAAAATTTAAATGCTGTACTTTATGTTACCCAAATCAAATTCAGCAAAACACTAATTAGCAATGATCTCTAATTAATTATTATCAAACAATTTTTGCTAATACTTAAGCCCGTATTTTAACTGATATAAATTGACTGATAAGAGACTAATATTGACTGATAAAAGTAAAATATAGATATTTTTATAAAAATGCAACTCAATATAAACTAACTTTATAACATAAAAATTCAATTTGCAAAAATTAATTAATATTTAATATAAATAAATATTTTCTAATGGAAAGCAGTGTTTCAGCTGAGGATCGGTTAAATGTGTGGCAATTATGCAAAACATATTTAGGCGGCGAATGGAGTGATGTTTGCGCCGACGATCTGGTCATAAAATACGCGGCGTAAGTATCAGCAAAAATAATTTCATTACAAAAATTCATATTTATTTAATTCCTTAAGTTGCCATGTATATTTATTAGGAACGGATATGTGAATAAAACACTATACTGTTCTCTCGCCAACTCAAATAACCCGCAAACTAAATACCCAAAAGTTGTGGTCAAATATCAAAATGTAGATTATCTGAAGAGTTCGGGAATAAATCTAACCTATTTATCGGCCGTTAATATTATTTTATCCGAGAATAATATCGCGCCAAAAGTGTTGGCTGTCTTTGAAAAGGGGAATATCTGTGAATTCATTGATGTATGAAATTATAAATTGAATTATAATTATTGTTGTATTAATTAATTTCTGCGCATAAATAGTCGCGTTATTTCAGTGCTGCCGATGACCTGAACCCCACAGCAGTGGCAGTGTTGGCACAAAAGGTGGCAAAACTGCATTCAATAGATATGCCGATACCTAAAGACAATACAGAATCGCATCTAAAACTCAATTTAGAGATCTGGTTTTCAGAGTCGGATCGGGAGTCATATAAACACGGGTTAGTTCGCGAAGAGATCCAGAAGAATAACTACAAGACATTCATGTCAGTGGATCTGTTGGAAGAGATTGATTGGATCCAACGTGTGTGCAAACAGGTTGACAGTCCGGTAGTTTTCTCGCACAACGACCTCATGAGGCGTAATATACTGGTCAGGGATGCCATCGCTGACCAACCTTTGGATGTATACCTTATTGACTTGGATTGGAGTAGTTATATGTTTAGGGGCGCAGACTTTGGCGACTATTTTATCAATTGGTGCCAAACGGAGCTGGACTTCGGGGACAAACCCTTTCCTACCGATGACCAGATGCTGGTCTTCATCGACGCCTATATCCGGGAAATGACAGCAATTAATGGCAACTCTTTTACACAATTGGAGATCAATTCACGCGACAAACTTATAAAGGAGGCAAAAGTGTTGGGTTTATTTTCGTATATGAAAATGATTACCTGGACAAATTCTATTACCAATAAAAGCGGAACATCAGAAATGATGGTAAATATTGTTATTTTAAATCTACATTTATTAAATTATTTATATTTTTATTTTTAGCCTAAAGGCGAGCAAACATTTAAAAACTACAAATTATTAAAGGATCGACTAATTGAAGACTATCCAGAATTTGAATAAAGCATCATGGTTATATTCACTGTTTATAAAAGTATCAAATTCTATTTAATTGCTAATATTGAACGTAGTTAACATGAAACATTTATTGAGTTAACTGTAAATCAGGGAACATTAATCGATTAAGTTAAATTTATATTTAATAATTTTAATGTACAATGTAATCATTACTTTTTAATGTATTGAATATATTTTGAAAATTAATATGTAGTAATTAGGTTATAAAATAATGAATTACGTTTTTAATTTTAAATTTATTCATATAAAATAAATTTCGTAAAACTTTACAATACAATATTTACATAATTTTATTTTCAGTAAGTTATTAAAGTTTAATGGCGTTAATTCAAGATTAATTCTTAATTAATTAAGTTTGGATTAATGGATGTTTAGTCAATCAAGAACAATTTTATTATTATAAAAATTTTCACATTTCAATTATTGTAGATTTTTAGGATGTAGATTCCTACAAACTTAATATAGGATTTAGCACTAGCCCATAGGAAAGCATTGAAATAGATCTATCTTTCTCAAACTGTAAATACCAAAGTACATGTTCGATTTTAATAATTTTTTTTAATATTAACCATGAGTTATACCTATACAAATTATAAATGTGGATCATCTCTATATCTCTTATACTTTAATTGCACTATTAATACTGGGGTTTTCATTAAATATTGTAATTTTGTCTTTATTTAATACTCTAGTTGTCTATCAATCTGTACGTAATGTATGGCAGAGGGCGGCAGTCAATGAGTTAGTGCTTGTGTTGTTACTCGTCGTCATAGTTCAAAATACGGGTGTTTTTACAAGTAAGTATTTTGAGCATATCTAGTATCTAGGTATCTAGTCCGTCATTATCTATTGTCGCCTCAGAAATCTTTATATCTCCCAAACGAAAGGAGCTAGATCAAATCTGTAAACTGTAATGTGTTGGTCCATATATCTAGTATTTTTGTAGAAAAAATTATTGAAATCACGTGACTAGATCATATAGATTTTTGGGTCATTTTGAAATG